CAAGTCTGAAAGCCTTGCTGCTTTCAGCTTCCTCTCAATATACAGACCACACCCCCGCCTAAATTTCCTGTTTGATTATTCTTGATGATATCCATATCCTGAATCTCCAGCTCCGAGTCAGAAACCTCGGTATGCAACGGTATTTCTGCCATCCCAATCACCGGCTCTTTGCACTCGGAGCTCACGAAGCGGAGTTCAGAAAGGTTGTTGCGCAGGTTTTAGCTGTTTGTATATATGCAATTCCAAGTTCCGACCATCTTGGTATCGCTCGGTGGAGACGAAGTCTCTGCCATGATTACTGCAGGGGTACCAGTGGTTGCCGCGATGGATACAGACCGGTGCCCTGCCTGTAGAGCGGTCTGCATGGAAGTCTCTATCCATTCGTCTGCTTGCTCTACCTGAGCTGGCATGATAGAGGTTTTTGGAATTGGCAGCTGGTTACTGCATTATACAGTGATTTCCCGAGCTGTCTGGTTTTTTTCATATATTTGTTACTGTGCCTCTGCCTCATAATTCGCTCCTATTTCGTTTGTTACATTCAACATTCCACTTGTCTTCCTTTAGCTTGTATGCCTCGTTTTTTTGATTGGCTAAGGTCTATCAATCAGGCGGTCTTCTGAACCCTCATTCCATCAACCGATCATACGTTACAATTTGATCAACCAAAAACAATGGACCGACACCTGCGCCCGAATCTTTTCGATGCAGACCCAAACTCCCCGAACGGCGCTGACTCTTGGGAACATTGGTACTATACCTCCACAAAATTTTTGGAATTAGTCAAAGTACACCAACCAGAGAAACTCAAAACTCTCATGCACTTTTTATCGCCAACTGTTTACGAATTCGTTTGCCGATGCAATGAGCATGACTCTGACATCATCACCCTTCAATCCCTATTCATGCGAACTAAAAATGAAATTTTCGCATGCTATCTTCCGGCAACTTTGCAGCAGAATACTCTTGGAACCATTGATTGGTTCGTGCAAAAGCTTAGAAACTTTGCCCGAGACAGTAATTTTCAGATTGTCAGCGAAAAGCAAAATAAAGACGCCATCCGCGATGCGTTCATCAGCAGACTCTTGTGAAATCCTAGCCGTCAGCTGCCTCTGAAGAACAAAACATTCGACATAGGTACTGCGTATGACCAAGCTAAAGCTCTAGATATAACTCATTAGCAATCGCAGACAATCGCTGAGTACAAACCTTCAGTATGCACTACCGCAACGATAGACAGCTCCAGCGCCCTCGGTTAGGTGTCTGATAAAGAGGTCGAAAAGATCCTGGCTGCATCCCGAACGAGCTGTTACTTTTGTGGGTATGATCATCATCCTCATCACAAATGTTTCGCGAAAGATGCAATTTGCAAGTCGTTGGGTAAGCGGGGAACACTTATGGGCATGCCGAACTTCTATGAAAACAAAACATAGCGCAACTTCCCCACCATTTCTCGTTTCCTCCGTCGTCATAGCTGCAGCTCCAGTGGGCCTCAGTAAGGGTATTACGAAAGTAACAGTCAACGGAGTAGTGCTACAAGCTTTTGTAGACACCGGAAGCTCAGAGAGTTACTTCTCCGAGGAGATTGTGCTCCGGAACAAATGGTTAGGAATGGCATCCAAAAGTAAGATCATCCTCGCTTCTACCCGCATGATCAGCAGTACCAAAGGTCATTGTTTTGGCTTTTTGCTGCACAAAGGTGCCGGTTCGAACATGTCAAACTATCGATTATCCCTGACTTATGTGCTGACGTACTACTGGGGCATATCTTTTTACAACACAAGTCGGTAGATATACCTTTCCGAGGAACTCGTATACTCTTATCACTTTATGGTTTCTCTGCTGCTAACCATCCAGTTCCACCTCTTTTTGCACATCTGAATCCCTCTTGCCGTCGTACTTGCACAAAATCGACGAGATACAGCTGAAACGATGAGGCCTTTATTCTATCGGAGATCGTCCGGTTATTGGAGGATGATATAATCGAATTTTCTCGATAATCGTGGTGAGCCCAAGTCCTCTATTTTTACTACACGCTTGCGTATGAGTACAGTGGAAGGGGCATTAACCCCATAGCCACAAAGGCTTGTTGCACTATTGGGGATAACCGGCAATCAGACCCTGAGACTTGGAGTGGCGAAGAAGCACATAAGGTTTCAACAGGTCAGGTGTGGTAACGATCCAGACGATAGTGGATTGTAGTCTACCACCAACTACTACCAACGAGCGCCAGAAACGACGGATGGTGGTCGACTACAGTCAAACAACCAATTGACTCACCTTCCTAGATGCATACCCGCTACCCGGCATAGACGATTTAGTGAGGAAAATTTCACAGTTTAGCACTTACAGCACTTTAGACTTACAGAGCGCGTACCATCAGATCCCCGTAAAGGAAAGCGAACGGCTGTACACGGCTTCCGAAGCATGCAACGGCCTCTACCAGTTTCGCCGAATACCATTTGGACTAACCAACGTTGTTGCCCGTTTCCAGCACACGATGGACGAGCTTGTTTGAAGTGAAGGAATTGAAGAACCGTTTGCAAACGTTGACAACATTACTATTTGTGAGAAAGATGTCACCGACCATGATGTCAATTTGAAACGGTTCCTGCAAACGGCTGAGAATTATGGTTTAACCTTAAATCACAAAAAGTGTCATCATCATCATCATCGTACAGCGTCAAGCAGTAGGGCAAGCCCCACTGACCACTGCCTTTCTCACCATGTTGCACGTTGAATTAGAAAGTATGAATATACAAGATGGACAGGGAGTGGGCCTACATGGGTGGGAAAAGGAAAGAATGCCCTAGTAGCCAACACACGGAGTACACAGTCTAACTGTACAAACGCACATCGATCAGTCATTCTGATTCGACAGAAAGTGACAACACGATCGCCACTGTTCACGGTTCGCTGCCATATCCTTCAGTATCTCCAGCCAACTGGTAGACGGATTTTTTGGACACCAACCACGAAGACGTGAAGCACCTACTTTTTCTAAGTTCGATGTACATTTTCTCATTCCTCGATGCCACGTCATCTGTTGACCTCCACGTGGTCTCTTCCACTCCCTAGGAGGAACGGAGAATAGGACACGGTATGGAAGACGTGTGTTTGCCATACGTAACACGTGCCCCAACCAACGAAGTCTATCAATCTGGATATGCTGGGACATAGCGTTCTCCGAAATAATACCCAATACTCGCTTTCTGAAATCATTGCTCACTCGGCTATTCCACCTAATCCTAGCGATACTACGCAAACATCGGTGGTCAAAAACCTCAAGACGAAGAATATCTTCACCACGCAGACTCCAAGTCTCGCGACCTTGGATATGCGCGTCCTCACCTCTACTATTGTGCTCCTATCCATCGTCAAGCTGCTGCCGAGGTAGGTGAAGTGGTCCTCAATTGCCAGCACGTCCCCATCTAGCATCAAGCTCAGAATCGTTGACGTCCAGTCTTGTATTATCACCTTGCACTTTGAAGGTGCAAAGCGCATGCCGAATGGAGCTACAGTTCTTGAGAGTCTATCTAGTGCACGTTGAGCATGTTCCGTAGATTCGAAAAATTAGACAACGTCGTCTGCATAATCTAGGTCACACAGCTTTCCACTATTTACTAGTTCGACGCCTACATCCTGAAGATTTTGCAACGCACTATCCATTATTTCGCCCATGACGAAGTTGAACAGCAATGGAGACAAAGGGCATCCCTGTCGAACACCACTGGTCGTTTCGAACCGACCGGATGGTTCACCGTAAACCCTAACGCGGCCAGAAGTATGAGAATACAATGACCTCAGTAGGTTCACGAACTTCTGGGGCATACCTTTTCGCTGAAGAGCATTGAAAAGTGTTGTTCGATCAACTGAATCGAAGGCGCCTTTCAGGTCTAAGAAAAGCATTATGGTCGGTCGGCGGTGCGTGTGACGAGTTTCAAGTAGTCGGCGAAGAGTAAAAATTTAGTCGATGCATCCTCGACCTGGACGGAATCCAGCCTGCTGTTCGCGAATGTTCCTCTCGCGAGCTGGTGTAAGACGGTGCAGCAGAATCGAGGCTAATACTTTGGTGACTATCGAAATTAAGCTAATCTCACGATGGTTAGGTTACTACAGTGTTTGCGTATTCCCTTCTTGAAGATGGGGACAATCAATGACTCGCTCCACATTAACGGAATACGCTCCTCCAGAGATATATCGAGACGTCGAGTGAACCGAGCATCGTCCTTCTCTTCCACCACTGATGCCGGTAAGGCGTTCCAGAGATTGATCGTCTTCTGTGAAAGACGATAAACTAGTGGCAGACCAATCAATAGAAGCTTCAGCAGAGTTAGGGCATGGCCTTGCATCCCGTCGTCCATCTGAAGAGAAGAGTCCGTTTGCTATTCCAGATCAATATCACCACGGAGGATCTCTCTCAAACTAATTATGCCACCAGAACTCGTCGATAGTAGCCAGGTAAGAGATCGAGAGACCTCATGGTCCTCCTATCTGGCCTCACGTAAGCCACCGACGAGTCTCTTTGCAAAGAGTTGCACTTTATCTAGTTTCGCTGTCTCGCCGATAGTGCAGGGCTAGGTTGCAGCACCTCCACATTAGAGTCTCGGACTAACATGGGAAGCGTACAATAACTGGAAAGCTTCGGGCCACAGCAAACCGAATGATCGGTGTATGCCATCGAGGTTAGCTCTAGAGAAGCGCAAACCTTATCCGTGTGAACTCCAGTGTTGAAGGACTACGGTAGCTCAACCCCGTGGTCTCTTCTGCACGACAATCGCAGTAGTATTTCATTCCCGATGCGATGCTCCGCATCAGATACTCTTCTCCCAGCAGGCATGTACGCGCATTTGGGCACATCGAGGGGCAGTGCCCAGACATCAGATCATCGTACTAACACATCCAGATCCCTTTGCAGAATCTCTCTGTACATATCTAACTTCACGAAACGCTAAAGTTTTACGTCATCAGCGTGAATAAGGCAAGATGACTGGAAGACTTACGGCAAGTCGTTGATGCAGGCCAGAAACCGCACCGGTCAAAGAACCGATACTTGAGGGACCCCACATTTTGCAGCAAGCCAAACTTGAATTTAGCTGGGCCACTCTGAGTGAAAACATCCTCCATTTCAGGAAATCCGCGATCCAGTAAAGCACTGGACTGTGAAGACCAAATCCCGAGTTTTTCCAACAGCCAGTCGCGAGGTACTTTGTCAAATGCCTTGCTAAAATCGACGAAGATTAGGTCCGTATTGTAGCCGCCCTTCATAGTCTCTGTCCACCGTTCTCGTGCCAACAGCAAGTTAGAGATACAGGATCTCCTTGAACAGAGGCCATGCTGGGCGGGGCACAAATACTTGCGTGATTCAAGGTGCTCCCGGATTCGCGCCGGCACTAGCTGTTCCACCACCTTTCCCAAAATGCAGGTTAGGTTCACCGGGTGATAGCTTGCTGGTACCTTCGCGAGCCTCCTCTATACAGTGGGCAAATTATTGCCACCTTTCATTCGCCAGGCATAGCACCCGTACGTAGCGATAGATTAAACAGTTCGGTCAAAGGTGATGCAAGTTCATTGACAAGTGCACGCAATACTGCCGGGTCGATGCCATCTGGTCCGGGCGACTGATACACTTTTAGTTTCTCCAGTTCCTTGGCGACCTTAGCTGAATAAAAGTGCTGGAGCATGAGGGTAACATCCGTATAAGGCGGTGACGGCGATGGGGTTGACTCTGTCGCGCACACAGATGAATATTGACGCTTTTTAAACGTCCGTTTCAGTGTATGTTTCCTGGTTGACTGCGAGTGGAACGACCGTGTAGACGCGGGTTCTACCTCTCAAGTATGCATGGGGCCATTTGGGTGCACTAACGGAGTCTTTAGCAAGCGTATTTTCAAAGGAATTTTTCTTTTCCGTCTTCATGGACGAACGCGTAGTTCGGACGGCTCTGTGCCGCTCGCACCTGTCTCCGGTATCTCGGTATCGTTGCTATGCACAGTTCTTACTGTGGAGAGCACTACGTAGCCCACGAGCAAACCAAGGAAGACCCTTGCTATGTCTGCGAGAATGAACGGGAGGGGCGGACTTTTGTATCAGTCCGAGGACCCTTTCCCGTATAGTGGACCAGGAGGATTTTACACCAACCGGCGTTGTCGCAGTCCACACCACTGGTGATGATGCTGCTTGAATTTCATCAAAGTTTATCCGCCACATGTTGCGCCCTATATGTGGTTCATCAAAATGAGAAACACCACGCTTCCAGTGTATTGAGAGGGCGGAGTGGTCAGTCGAACCGAGCGGCTACCTCAACGTCCGATGGTCTCGGAGATATTACAAGGTCCAGGATGAATGACTGGGGAGCTTGAAGCCGTGTCGACTCTCGTGCATGCTGGTATAGAATAAAGTTCCCAAGGAACGTGAGGAAAGTACGTGTGAAGAGATCTGCAAATGGACAGTGACAGCCCTCATCCCAATCGATGTGCAACACATTGAAATTCCCAAGGATAATACAGTGCCTGTCATGACCCCACCGCCCGAGTTCGTCACAAAGAATCGTGGAGTCTAGGCCGGGTGACCTGTACTCAAGTCCCATCGTTACATAGTCATTAGGTGTTCATCGAATCCTGCACCACGAGATTTACCAGAACCCCTCGGGATGAGCAAAACTATGTAGCTGGTGGGCAGGTATGTTACACTGAATACAGAGGGCAACGCTGCCACTTTGTCTCGCATCGCCCTCATCCGTCCGGGAAATTGAGTATCCTGAAAGTGACACCTCAAAAGCAGAAACGTCACCGTACAGCCACGTTTCGGTTGGGGCAGCGACTGTGTGTGTAGGGGGGGGGATGTCTTGCCACCAGCGACTCCAGGTTACCACGTTTGTTCCACAGACTGCGAAAGCTGGAGAACAGTATGATCGCCCGCCCGGAGCTGGGTCGTGTCACTGAACTAAGAACATCCTAAAAACGTCGCAAACTTACAACTGGACAGGTGGACCTGAAGGTGTTGCTGTTACGACCGGGGGCGTTCAGCACAGACGCGGCCTCAACTTTCGGACCCAAAAAGCCCGAATTAAGAGGTCAGTTCACCTTTAGACCGAGGTTCGTGCAGCTCTACGGTAGCTAATTTCAGCTCACGCCGATGATCTGGAGAGAGGTCACGTAGAATACCCACCGATTAATCTTTCAGCTTGTGGGCACGATGCAGAGCCGCCTGGACTGCATCGGAAGTACTCAGAACTACCTTTTGAAGTCATGGTTGCTCACCAGGCGTCTGCTGCTCTCCAAGACGGAAGTCCGCAGTTACTCGAAAGCTATTAGCCACCGCTGCCTCCTCGCTCGTGGAAATCGGTGACAAGTAGTACCGCAGTAGTGAAAGATCATGGTCCAGTCTGCCTTGAGACTCGGCCACGGTAGCTCCCGACAGATTTACCAGCAGAAAACTCTGAGCCCCATCTGGGAATGCCTTACGTTTGCAAAGTTCTGGTAGTTAGCTAGGGCGCTGCGATAACTTATGTACAGGCTATGAATTCTCAGTAAACGTAAAATTTCAGAAGAGGGAAGTCTACAATTATTCAAGAAGGGAAGCCGTAAAGTTATACGCAGCTGTCTGTGACTTAAATGCTAAAATGATGAATTTCACTGTATAATGCTGCCCAAGTAGCACGTTGCCCCAACCTTTGGGGTAAACCTGGGGCATGCCCCAAGCTGGAGCTAGCCCCAGGTTTGCCCTATGTGGGTGCCCCAAGGTTGGGGCTAGCCCCACGTTTGCCCCATGGGGCAACCTTGAGGCTAGCCCCATGAGGCAATTTCGGGGCAACGGCAGCGCTGCCCCAATTTTTTCAATGGTAGGCTTGGGGTGTGCTACTTGGGTGTTTTCTGTTGGAATTGATAGTTTTTTTCCATTGTAAAATGTTGACCAGTTTTACTTTGTCCCCCCGTAATCTGTTTAGTTCTGCTAATTCATTTGACTTGGTGAGTTTTGATTGGCTCGCCTGTCATATATAAACATGCTTGAGCCGCGATTCCTTTACTCTGCTGCCACGTGCCCTACCGTCCGTCGTACCGTCGGACGGTGCGGTGCGAACCTGTCGATGATTCTGCCCTTTTCCATGTTGACTCGTTCAAAGCTAATTTTCGGGAATTCCAGAAATAAACGTGCACATCCTTTTAGGCTTTCTGAATATCGTATCATTCGGGAGGACATCTGCGGCGTATGCGGTAAAGAAAAGCCGTTGGTGGACCTGGAAGAGGATGTTTAATGGGCTCACTGTGTGACTTGTGGACGATGGACACATTTTCAGTTCCTAGCGTTTCACCACGAAGAGAACTACCGTTGTGTTTATTGTATGGCCCAATAACTCTAAGGCCGGATTAAATAAAAGCACCTCGAGACCGTTTTCAGGGCCACGTCATACTGACTGCCATTCTTGTTGCTTTTTGCAAGTGCAGTAAACATTTGGCACATTAATTTTATTTCGTGCGCGCAGATGAGTGATGGAACTTAAATGTCTCCGGTAATCGTTTAATGCGTTTTCGAATTATCGAAAAATGTTCCTTTACGCGTAACAACAACTGAGCTGACAGCAGAGATCTTGGTTTGCAAAGTTGAAGCCACAAAAGAAGGATTCCCTTCATCGTCCTCAGACGAAACAGGTCCGCCGGGAAGGCGTTCATCATGAGTTGACAAACTCTCGAATGGCGAATCCCCAATGTATTAATACATTGAAATAAAACACCCATTAAGCTGTGCGCAATACTCCGGTTACTTTGCTGCTCAGCTGACATTTAATAGCTTCATCAGATGGAAAGGAAAATTAAGATGTGGTTTCCATCAGCGGGCCACCGTAAGTCAAGTATTCTTCATAATAGAGGCAGAGGGTATCTCTCCCGTGTAAGTCTCCTCACCACAGCTCAGTGATGTAGACTCATGTGTGCCTCCCACCACCTCTTTAAAAATACATCCAGAAGAAGCTTGAACAATGTGTCGTTAGGCTCTTCCACCGCTTCGGCTGGCAGCGAGTTCCATAGATTGGTCACCCTCCAAGATAGACGGTACACTAGTGGGAGGTCCACCGACTGCAGTTTCTTTAGAGTTAGCGGGTGTCCCCTCGTACAGCCATGTCCGCGAAGAGGAAGCTCTGCACGTAGTTCTGGACCGAAGTCGCCTTTGATGATACGCCTGGTGAAGATCAGGTCTCCCCGGACTCTCCGATAGGCCACTGGAAACAGCCCTGTGATCTTCAGCCGCTCTTCGTAGCTGACCCCATGTAGCCCTCCGATAAGGCGGGTTGCGCCTCTCTGCACTCTTTCCAATTTTGCCACTTCTGCCAACGTACAAGGGAAAACCGCTGGTCCCCCGTATTCCAACCTGGGTTGCATACAGTACCTTGAAGGCGTTGGGTGAGAGATGGCCGAATGATCGAGTAATCGGCCCGAGGATACTCCACGCTGACGAGCAAACTCTATCAGTGTTGTGCTTCGTTTTTAGTGATGAGATCACCGTCATCCCCAGATTTTTTTCGCAGACAGAACGCCGAAGGGGTGCCCCGTGTATATTGTACATCCCACTGCTGGACGGTGCTCCTACTCGCATATGCGCACACTTTTCGGTGTTGATTGGCAGTGACCACAGATCTGACAATCTCTCAAGAGCTTTGATGTCCTCCTGAAGAACGAGCTCGTCTGCCTTTGATGTAATCGTGCACCAGATATTAAGGTCGTCTGCGTAGATGAGACACGGCGATTGAAAAACTGGCGGTAGATCATTGATATAGGCCAGAAAGAAGAACGGACCCAGAACCGATCCATGTGTAACACTACTAGTTGCCACTTGCCAAGTTGACAGTGACTGTGCTACTCGTACTGCAAAGATTCTACCTTTTAGAAAGTCCTCTATCCACAGAATCAAGGGATCCACAACACCAAGAGCCTTAAGCTTAGCTAATGGACGGTCATGCGGGACTTTGTCAAAAGCTTTGCTAAAATCCACGAAGATTACGTCCGTAGGGTGTCCTTTGGCCTTGGTCATTGTCCAGCGTTCTTGTGCGATTACCAAGTTTGCCAGGCACGACCTATTTTTCTAAAAACCATGTTGTTGTCGGCAGAGTAGGTCGTATACCCCAATATGGTCCCGGATTCGCGTTGCCAGCAGGCACTCCATAACCTTTTCTACCACCGGTGCTAGACTGACAGGTCGGTAGTTGACAGCCTTAGGCTTCGCCCCACCTTTGTATAGTGGTACGACGACGGCTTTCTTCCATCCTTGAAGGA